GAATCAAATATCTTTTGATGATTTATGTTTAATACTCCATTTTCATTTACCTCTAGCGTTTTTGATCACATATCTTTGTAGTCTTTTTTTTTTTTTGAGATGGGCGTCTCGCTCTGTCACCCAGGCTGGAGTGCAGTGGCATGATCTCGGCTCACTGCAACCTCCGCCTCCCAGGTTCGAGCAATTCTCCTGCCTCAGCCTCCCAAGTAGCTGGGACTACAGGTGCACACCACCACGCCCAGCTAATTTTTGTATTTTTAGTAGAGACAGGGTTTCACCACGTTGGCCAGGATGGTCTTGATCTCTTGACCTCATGATCTGCCCACCTCAGCCTCCCAAAGTGCTAGGATTACAGGCGTGAGCCACCATGCCAGGCCTGTAGTCTTCTTTTAGTGGTTGTGGTAGAAATTACTCTCTCTCTCTATATATATACACACACACATACATACATACACACACACACACGTACATACACCTAACTTTTCAGTCTACTTAGAAATCCTATTTTACATTTCCAGAAGGCAGAAATCTTACCATTCTATTTCTTTTACCCTACTCCCTTTTATGTTATAGTTGTCAAATGTATTACACTGATACATGCTGAAAACCCCACTAGACAATTTTTTTGTTTTGTTTTTTTGAGACAGAGTCTCCCTGTCACCAGGTGGGAGTGTAGTGGCACGATCTTGGCTCACTGTAACCTTTCCCTCCTAGGTTCAAGTGATTCTCCTGCCTCAGCCTCCTGAGTAGCTGGATTTACAGGCACATGCCACCATGCCTGGCTCATTTTTGTATTTTTACTAGAGACAGGGTTTCACCATGTTGGTCAGGCTGGTCTCAAACTCCTGACCTCAGGTGATCCGCCTGCCTCGGCCTACCAAAGTGCTGGGATTACAGGCTTGAACTACTGAGACTGGCTGACAATGTTATAGCTTTAAGATATGTATGACAATTTCAACTTTTTGTTTGTTTCTTGAGACAGGGTCTTACTCTGCCAGATCTTTAACATTTCTGTTGTTTTTCTTTCATTCCTTAAGTTCCAAGATTCCCTCTGGCATCATTTCCCTTCCACTCAAAGAACTTTCTCTAGCATTTCTGTTAAAGTAAATAATAATTCTCTTATTTTTTTTTTCCCTGTTAGAATATCCTTATTTTGCCTTCATTCCAAAGGTTATTTTCATTGGATATGGAATTCTGGGTTGACAGCTCTTTTCTTTTAGCACTTTAAAAGTATTGTTTCTACCATCACAAAGAAGATGAGAAAAAAAAAATAATAATAATAAAAAAGGATCAGTGTCTCACGCCTGTAATCCTATCACATTGGGAGGCTAAGGTGGGCGGATTTTGAGCTCAGGAATTCAAGACTAGGCTAGGCAACATAGTGAAACCCCATCTCTACAAAAAATACAAAAATTATCTGGGCACAGTGGCGCACACCTGTAGTCTGAGCTACTGTGGATGCTGAGGTGGGAAGATCACTTGAGCTCAAGAGGTTGAGGTTTCAGTGAGTTGAGATCACACCACTGCACTGTAGCCTAGGGGATGGAGTGAGATCCTGTCTCAAAATAACAATAATTTAAAAAGTATTATTCTGGCTGGGCGCGGTGGCTCATGCCTGCAGTTCCAGCCCTTTGGGAGGCTGAGGTGGGCGGATCATGAGGTCAGGAGTTCGAGACCAATCTGGCCAACATGATGAAACCCCATTCTCTACTAAATATGCAAAAATTAGTCAGCCGTGGTGGCGGGCACTTGTAATCCCAGCTACTCAGGAGGCTGAGGCAGGAGAATTGCTTGAACCTGGGAGGCAGAGGTTGCAGTGAGCCGAGATTGCACCACTGCCCTCCAGCCTGGGCGACAGAGAGAGACTCCATCTCAAACAAACAAACAAACAAAACCAAAGTATTGTTTCATTTCCTTCTCATCTCCATAGTTTCTGATAAGAAATCCATAATCATTCAAATCATTGTTTTTCTATATATGTTATGTATTACTTTCTCCTGGCTGCTTTCAAGATGTTTTCTTCAACTTTAGTTTTCAGCAGTTTGATTCTGATGTGTCTCAAGTGTGGATTTGAGTTTATCTTCTCTGGAATTTTCTAAGTTTCTTGAATCTGTAAGTTTACGTCTTTCACCAAATTTAGATTTTTTTTTTTTTTTTTTAAGATAGAGTCTCACTCTGTTGCCCAGGCTGGAGTGCAGTGGCACCATCTGGACTCTGGACTCACTGCAACCTCTACCTTCCAGGTTCAAGTGATTCTTGTGCCTCAGCCACCCGAGTAGCTGGGATTATAGGTGCACACCAACATGCCTGGCTAATTTCTGTATTTTTAGTAGAGATGGGGTTTTGTCATGCTGGCCGGGCTGGTCTCGAACTCCCAACCTCAAATGATCCGCCCACCTCGGCCTCCCAAAGTGCTGGGATTACAGGTGTGAGCCACTGAACCTGCCCTAAAATTAGAGGACTTTTTTTGCCAATATTTCTTCAAATACTTTTTCTGCACACACCACTCTTTCTCATCTCTTATTGGGAATCCAATGACATAAATGTCAGACATTCTAGTATTTTCCCACAGGTCCCTGAGACTGTTCAGTTTTTTCTTCCTACTCTTTTTTCCTCTCTGTTGCTTAAACCAGATAATTTCTAGTGATCTGTTTTCAATTCACTGACTTTCTTTGTCATCTCTAGTCTTCTATTAAGCCCATCCAGTGAGTTTTAAATTTTTAGTGTTTGTATTTTTCAGTTCTAATATTCCTATTTGGTTCTCTTCTGTATCTTCTATTTCTCTGATGAGACTTTCTATATTCCTGTTTGTTTCAGGAATGTTTGCTCTTACTTTTATAGCATGGTCTTACTAGCTGCTTTAAAATCTTTGATAACTCCAACATTTGTGTCATCTTGGGGTTGGCATCTATTGACTGCCTTCCCTTGCAAGTACATGAGAATTACTTATATGTCAAGTCATTATGGATGGTATCCTGGACACTGTGAATGTTATGAGACTCTGGGTCTTCTTTAAACTTTATGCAAAAATGTTAATATTTTTGTCTTAGCAGGCAACTGACCAGGTGAGGTTCTGCCTTCTGGGCAGATGGTGAGAGAATAGAGAGAAAAAGAAAAGCAATCAGGATCCCCCCTCATCCTCTTGCTCAGAGATTTAGGAACCTGTACTGCCACTGCTGCTGCTGCTATTGCAGCCACAGGCTTGCCTAGGGTCTGGATGGGAGAGATCAGAAAAAGGGAAGAGGAGGAGGAAAAACCTCCAGGGGAATCCCTTTCCTCTCTGTCCTGTAGGAGTCCCATTTCCTGCTCTTTAACCAGAAAAAGGCTTTTTTGTTTTTTGAGATGGAGCCTCATTCTGTTGCCCAGGGTGGAATGCAGTGGCGCAATCTTGGCTCACTGCAACCTCTGCCTCCCGGGTTCAAGCAATTCTCCTGCCTCAGCCTCCCAAGTAGCTGGGATTACAGGCGCCTGCCACCACATCCAGCTAATTTTTTTGTGTTTTTAGTAGAGAAGGGTTTCACCATGTTGGCCAGCATGGTCTTGATCTCCTGACCTCGTGATCCGACCACCTCAGCCTCCCAAAGTGCTGGGATTACAGGTGTGAGCCACTGCACCTGGCAGAAAAAGGCTTTTTTGCACTCATTATGTACTTCCAGGTTTCAGGCTGTTATTGAAGTCCTATCAGAAGTAAGACAAAGAGGACACTCACCACCAGCTGATGGCACTTTGAGTTCCCTAATTCACCAACTAGGATTTATTTTTCAGAGTCTTTAGCTAGCTACTCCAAGCATTTGGTCCACATCTATTAGTTCTATTCTGCAGGAGACACGGTGGGGTGTGCTTACTCCATCTCACCCAGAACTGAAACTTCACCAGAGGCTCTTAACTCTATTGTACAACCAGGATGGAGAACCACTGCATACATATATGTGAAGGTTGTACATCAGGGATTGGCCAATATTTTCTCTAAAGGGCCAAATAGTAAATATTTTAGGCTTTGTGGCCTGTTGCAATGACTTAACCTATTCAGCTCTGCTGTTGTTATGTGCAAGCAGCCATACATAAGGTATAAATAATTGGGCATAGCTCTCTTGCAATAAAACTTGATTCATTTATTTTTCAGATGGGGGTCTTGCTTTGTCACTGCACCCAGGCTGGAGTGCAGTGGCACAAACATAGATCACTGCCACCTTCAATTCCTGGGCTCAAGTCCCAGCCTCCCAAGTAGCTGGGACTACAGGCGTGCACCACCATGCCTGGCTAATTTTTAAAAAAACTTTTTTGTGGAGACAGGGTCTCACCCCTCTTGCCCAGGCTGGTCTCGAATTCCTGGGCTCAAGCAATCCTCCTGCCTCGGCCTCCCAAAGTGCTAGGATTACAGGCATGACCCATTGCACCCGGCAAAAGCTTGCTTGCTTTATTTATTTATTTATTTATTTATTTATTTATTTATTTATTTAGACAAGTCTTACTCTGTCACCCAGGCTGAAGTGCAGTGGCGCAATACAAAACTTCATTTAATAAAACAAGTAGCTGGCTAGATTTGGGCTACAGACCATAGTTTGCTGACCCCCTGTTCCATATCCCAAATAGCCAACTTGGCTTTGACAAAGTTTATTTCTGGACTTTTTTTCCATTCCTTAGGAAGAATTTTTCAAATAACTACAAAGGTTATTGCTTTACTCCTGCATTTACTCCCACCAAGTTCAAGAACTGTGGTAACCATTCAATTTTGCTTTGATTATTCAATCTGATTCTTGAAATAAGTTATTTCTCTAGAGCTGAAGTTTTAAAAATGAAAAATCTAAGATTTGTCCAACTTTATATCTTTTACATGTAACTGACAATTCTGTAGTTATCCTTTCAAATTAGAACCCGTATTTACAGCTTTCTCAGGGATATGTTAAAGTAGAGGAGGTCATAAAAAAATAGTGTCCCGACTTGTTTTTCTAGAACCTTCCTGACTGGAGATGTGAAGCGGTCATTCTCCGTCCACTCACCTGGTTTCCTGCCACAGAGATAGAAGGCTAGTCTGTCCGTCAGCTCATACTGTATTTCCACAAGGCGCTCTGCCAGCTCATGGTGCCCTCCTTGCCTACCAAGAGAAAACAAAGTACCATTTATATTACTCACTATTCACTGGCTTTAAAATGGAGAAGTACAAAGAGAGACACCTGAGCAGTTTATCACACAAGGCTTTTTAGAATAATCAGCCTTGTCGTGGGAGGTAGATTTCTGAAGTCTACTTTGCATCCCACTTTTATAAACTGTTTTCACCATCTGAACTATCCCCTTTCCTTTATTAAGGCACAAAATAGAATACTTAATAAGAAATTCAAAGATTTATGAGAGGGAAGGATAAAGAATGACTTAATTTAATGAAGTAAAAAAATGAAATTAATCAATGGTTTAGGGTAGAGGTTCTCAAAAATTAACTAGCACATTTCTAGGAATATACCATGTGCAGGCCCCACCCTTGGAAATTCTGAATCAGTGGGGACAGGATGGGACCAGGGCCCAGTATGTTGAAGAAAGTCCTTCCCCTAGGTGATGCCGATGCAGCCAGTCTGACTCTGGATGACAGTCTAGTAACCACTTCAAAGACTTCAAATCAGTGACAGACAGGCCAACCTAATGCACAGCTCATGCCTGTAGCTACTTCTGTCTCCTTATCTTCAATTTGCATAACAGAAAATATTAAATTTACCTTTCAACATTCATGAAATATTTAAGCTGCTTAGAATCCTTTTGGTAACAAGGATTCAAACAAATTATATTGAGATTATTATATGCAAGGTACAAGTGTGAAAATCCCATGGTAAATGATAATAAGTATTATTTACCCAGGGCCCTCTTCCAAGATCAAGTGTATTTTGTGGTTTTTGTCCTTAAAAGTAATGGCAAAAACCGCAATTATTTTTGCACCAACCTGATAGTTTCAGTCAGCTTCTCTCCCGACCATTCAAGGCACTCACAACACCCTCCGACCTACCACACAGCTTTGATCTGTGAGAGTCACATCTTATTCTTTCATTTTTTAGTATCTTTGAAATCAGGAAATATTCTATAATTGACGATACACCATAATTGGCTGAGCTCTTTTCTTTTTTAGCGCTGTGTGAAATAATGAAGCACCGTGCAATACTGTACTCCTGCTGTTATTCCCAGACCCACTCTGTTCTTTCCAGCCAGGTCTCCTGCTGTGCTGAACACGCTTTGTCCCTCCCTGCCTCCTGATCTTGACTCCTGCCTTTCCTCTTACCTGGAATGCTTTAGCTCCTCCTTCACACATTCAAATCCAACCCATTCTTCAAGACCAACTGAAGAAATTTCTTAAATGATTTGGACCAAAATGAAGAAACCCTATATATGCTTTTTAAGACCAATTATCTATTTTGGCAATGAATCACACATGGTCTTGCCTCCTTGAACTCTTTCAGGCATTCATGAATCATCTTTTCCAAGAGAGTAAATTTTGGGAAGGCAGAGTTTTGTTATTTGCCCATTTTATCCTCTGTGGAGCAGAGCATTGTGCTTCACAGTTAATAAAGGTACTTTGGAAAAAGAAGGAAAGATGATTGATCTTTGGCCATTTAATTGATATCCAATTTAATTGAATATTTAAATGATATTCAAGACTAACCTATAATTTTTCAAGGACGGTATTAATAAAGAAAAATTTAAAGCATTTTACTGTGAGCACTTTTTTTTTTTTTTTTGAGACAGTCTCGCCCTGTTACCCAGGCTGGAGTACAGTGGCGTGATCTTGGCTCATGGCAACCTCTGCCTCCCAGGTTCAAGTGATTCTCCTGCCTCAGCCTCCCAGGTAGCGGGATTACAGGCGCCTGCCACCATGACCAGCCAATTTTTTTTTTTGTATTTTTAGTAGAGACAGAGTTTCACCATGTTGGTCAGGCTGGTCTCGAACTTCTGGCCTCAAGTAACCTGTCTGCCTTGTACCATCAAAGTGCTGGGATTACAGGTGTGAGCCACCGCGCCCAGCCTAGAGTGAGCACTTAGATGTCTACTACCCAAACCTTACAATTAACATTTTACTATACTTGTTTAATCACATATCTATGTATAGATTTGCTTTTAAGTTCAAGCAATAACTAAGAGTATTAAAAAATAGAAGAGTGTGGCTGGGCGCGGTGGCTTACGCCTGTAATCCCAGCACTTTGGGAGGCTGAGACGGGTGGATCACGAGGTCAGGAGATGGAGACCATCCTGGCTAACATGGTGAAACCGTCTCTACTAAAAATACAAAAAAATTAGCCAGGCGTGGTGGTGGGCGCCTGTAGTCCTAGCTACTCAGGAGGCTGAGGCAGGAGAATGGCGTGAACCCAGGAGGTGGAGCTTGCAGTGAGCCGAGATGGCCCCACTGCACTCCAGCCTGGGTGACAGAGCGAGACTCCGTCGCAAAAAAAAACAGAAGAGTGCATTCTGTAATTCTTCATACTTGATTTGGAATCTGACTATAGCTCAAATACCACTGTGTTATAAAGGATCAAGTAAAAGACTGGAAGTTTAGCACACTGGTTCATGATTCTAGCCTTCCTCAACTTTGCCAGGCTGAGCTTATATGCATTTGAAATGTCTTCATCTGTAAAATAAAGTAACATAAATCTTTAAAGGGGTTAAATGTTAACATATACAACTTAGCTACTTAACAAGGAATCATACCCAACAAAAAAATTCCAGATAGAAGTTGCAAGAATCTAGGTCTCTTACCTTGCATAATCAACGGGAGTTTTCCCACTAGAATCCTGTGTGCCTGGGTCTGCTCCATATACTGCTAATAATTCAGCCTGTAAAATCTGCCCTGCTTTGGAGGCAACATGGAGTGGGGTGTTTCCTTTTTCCTAAGAATCATTAATAAAAAGTAGACAAAAGAGCACATTAAATAAAGCTACATGAACACAACTCACTTAGTTTCAATACCTGAAGCAATTGATGTTTTCTTACAGGATGAAAGAAGTTGGCTTGTGCTCCTAAAGACAACAGTCTCAAACAGGTTTCAAGATTCCCTGTTCTCACGCTTGAATGGAGTTGCTGAAAAACACAGAAACAAGAAAGGAATCGTGGTTAGAGGTGTAAAGAATGATGTCCTAGAGCAGTAGATAGACCATTTTAATATATGTTACATCATTAACACATAATCTTTATTTGTCTCGGTAAAGTGCATGGACCAGTCTCTCCTTTGCCAGTCACAACCGTCCCTGGGCTGTAAGATGGGGTCAGGCCACTTTACTGATAAGGAAACTAGGGCTGTGAAGGCTGATTTGCCCAAATGCATGACTTGTCTAAGAAGTGGCACAACCAGAACCTGAGTGAGAGGTAGGACTGTGTGAAAACGTGACTGCGTGGTTCTGATGTCTGACAGACTTGAATTTCAAACTATACCCACTTCAAACTGTGTGGGCTAGAGAAAGAGCTTTAAGCAATCTGAACCTCACTTTCCTCATCTCAAAAATGTCAACAATGGCCAGATGCAGTGGCTCATGCCTATAATCCCAGCATTTTGGGGGGTTGAGGTGGGAGGATCACTTGAGCCCACGGGTTTGAGACCAGCCTGGGAAACATAGCAAGACTCTGGCTCTACAAAAAATACGAAAATTAGTTGGGTGTGGTGGCATGTGCGCCTGTAGTCCCTGCTACTAGGGAGGCTGAGATGGGAAGATCACTTGAGCCTGGGCAGTGGAGGCTGCAGTGAGCTGTGATCATGCCACTGCACTCCAGTCTGGGCGACAGAGCAAGACCCTGTCCAAAAAAAAAACCACAAAATTTATAAAAGGTGGCATTTTTCTTTTTAGAAAGGGTCTTGCTTGCTCTGTCATCCAGGCTGGAGTGCAGTGGAGTGATCATGGCTCACTGCAGCCTCAGTATGCTGGGCTCAAGCAATCCTTCCACCTCAGCCTCCCAAATAGCTGGCACTACAGGCACTGGCCACCACGCCCTCCTAATTTTTTATTTTTCAATACAGATGAGGTCTCACTATGTCGCCCAGGCTGGTCTCGAACTTACGAGCTGAAGCAATTCTCCCACCTTGGCCTCCCAAAGTGTTGGGATTACGGGCATGAGCTACTGTGCCTTATTCACAGGGTTATAAGGATTTAGTGATATAATAAAGTGCTCAAAGAATACAAATGCTATAATAACGGTTATTACTATTAGTTGTTACTGTAATTACGGCTTTAGGACTTCAAATTCTATACTGTGTAAGCTACAGGATCCTGCCTTATACAATACCCTCTCTGCCACATTATTCTTGGCCTGTATAATATGCTTTAATAAAGTATTTCAGGGTGGGAAAAGGCCCGTGATATACCGAATTCTGTACTACTGCAGAAAAGCTCTTATATATTCAGAAGATGAGTTGCCTTCCTTTCAAATCTAACCTAGAATTGTCCAAGATGCAGTAACCCTTATCACAGGAATTAAGAAATCTACTCTAACATCTATTTCTTCTAAGTCTTGTTTAATTTTTTAAATAGTTATGTTTGTTTGTTTGTTTTTTAAACACAGGGTCACATTATGTTGCCCAGGCAGGACTGAACTCCTCGGCTCAAGCAACCCTTCCACCTCAGCCTCCCAAGCAGCTAGTATTATGTGCCACTGTGCCTAATTTTTTAAAACTATGGTAAGAAAAAAAAAACCAACACATACCAAGTCTTATTAACCAATGGAAGTAGCAAGTGCATGCATTTCTATGCAAAATTTCAAATTCTGAATTCTTCAGCCAGATTCTGCTGGGGATTAAAAAAGGGGGGGGGGGGAAAGGCCGGATACAGTGGCTCACACCTGTAATCCCAGCACTTTGGGAGGCCAAGGCAGGCAGACTGCTTAAGATGAAGAATTTGAGACCAGTCTGGACAACAGGGTGAAACCCCATCTCTCAAAAAAAGACAAAAATTGGCCAGGCGTGGTGGCTCATGCCTGTAATCCCAGCACTTTGGGAGGCTGAGGGGGGTAGTTCACTTGAGGTCAGGAGTTCAACACCGGCCTGGCCAACATGGCGAAACCCTGTCTCTACTAAAAATACAAAAAAAATTAGCCAGGTGTGGTGGCGGGCACCTGTAATCCAAGCTATTCAGGATGCTGAGGCAGGAGAATAGTTTAAACCCAGGAGGTGGAAATTGCAGTGAGCCGAGATCGTGCCACTGCACTCCAGCCTGGGTGACACAGTGAGACTCCATCTCAAAAAAACAAAAAACAAAACACACAAACACACACACACATACACACACACACACACACACACAAATTAGTCAGGCTTGGTGGCACATGCCTGTGATCCCAGCCATTTGAGAGGCTGAGATGGGAGAATCATTTGAGCCTGGGGAGGTTGAGGGTGCAGTCAGCCATGATTATGCCACTACACTCTAGCCTGGGCAATAGAGTGAGATTCTGTCATTCAGGCTGGAGTGCTGTGGCATGATCTCGGCTCACTGCAACCTTCATCTCCCCAGTTCAAGAGATTCTCAGCCAAATTCTACTAGACATACAAAGAAGAACTAACATCCTACTGAAATTATTCCAAACAATCAAAGAGGAGAGGCTCCTCCCTAACTCATTCTGTGAAGCCAACATCAGCCTGATACCAAAATCAGGCAGAGACACAACAAAAAAGGAAAACTTCAGGCCAAAATCCATGATGAACACAGATTTTTTTTAAAAAACTCTCAATAAAATATTAGCAAACCGAATCCAGCAGCACATCAAAAGTTAATCCACCGTGGCTGGGCGCAGTGGCTCACGCCTGTAGTCCCAGCACTTTGGGCAGCTGAGACAGGCGGATCACGAGGTCAGGAGTTTGAGACCAGCCAGGCCAACATGGCAAAACCCCGTCTCTACTAAAGATACAAAAAATGGCCAGGTGTGGTGGTTCACACCTGTAATCCCAGCACTTTGGGAGGCCAAGGCGGGTGGATCATGAGGTCAGGAGATCAAGACCATCCTGGCTAACACGGTGAAACCCTGTCTCTACTAAAAATACAAAAAAATTAGCTGGGCATGGTGGCAGATGCCTATAGTTCCAGCTACTTGGGAGGCTGAGGCAGGAGAATGGCGTGAACCCGAGAGGCAGAGCTTGCAATGAGACAAGATTGCGCCACTGCACTCCAGCCTGGGTGACAGAGCAAGACTCCGTCTCAAAGAAAAAAAAACAAACAAAAGATTAGCCAGGCCTGGTGGCACACGCCTGTAATCCCAGCTACTTGGGCGGCCGAGGCAGGAGAATCACTTGAACCTGGGAGACCGAGGTTACAGTGAGCCGAGATCGCGCCATTGTACTTTAACCCAGACAACAGGGTAACACTCCGTCTCCAAAAAAAAAAAAAAAAAAAATTAATCTACCATGATCAAGTAGGCTTTTTTGCTGAGATTCAAGGCTGGTTCAACATACACAAATCAATAAATGTAATTTGCCACATAAATAGAAGCAAAAGCAAAAACCACATGATCATCTCAATAAATGCAGAAAAAGTTTTCTTTTTTTGAAACAGGGTCTTGCTCTGTCGTCCAGGCTGGAGTGTCGTGGTATAATCTCAGCTTACTGCAACCTCCACCTCCTGGGCTCAAGTCATTCTCCCACCTCAGGCTCCCGGGTAGCTGGGACTACAGGCACGTGCCACCACACCCGGCTAATTGTTGTTATTTTTTGTAGAGACGGGGTTTTGCCATGTTGCCCAGGCTGGTCTCGAACTCCTGAGCTCAAGTGATCTGCCGGTCTCAGTCTCCCAAAGTGCTGGGATTACAGGCGTGAACCATCGCACCCGGCCAAAAAGTAATAAAAAAAATTATGAATAGTAAGTCCTCAAGCTCTGTGTGAGTAAGCATTTATCCAAGGCAGTGCTTTGAAAATAAATATGCACACTTCTTACAGCATCTCTCAAAAACATGCGAAGGCCCACATAAAGAAAACCACCTCACTCGTTTTACAAGTATGATAAACCATTCTGTGAACTATAGCTTTGTGAGTCACACATTGCTTTCCGAAGATCATACTCATTGTTCAGCCTGGAAACCTGAAGAAGTAAGTCCCCTTCCTTTAGTACTTTTTCTAGTCCTTATTAAAAAGAAACAATTGTCCTATAAACTTTCTAGTCCCTTCTAGAAACAACTCTGAGATGGTTCCTATTTCAAAGTTAAACAAACAAAAAACTTATCAAAATATAATTTAAAAGCCATATTGGAAAAACACAAATAGCCTTCTAGAGACTTACTTTTCCTCTTTGCCCTGTGCCTCCACTACATGAATGGCTGCCATTTGAATTCAGATTAAAGATGAACCCAATTGGGAAAAAAAGCTATTCATTACTTAATGTGCAGAACTTAGTTTTTGTTTTTCTTACTTTAAAAACTTTTTGCAGCCTGGGCAACACAGCAAGAACCTGTCTCTACAAAAAATAAAAAATATTAGCTGGGCATGGTAATGCGCCTGTAGTTCCAGCTACTCGGGAGGCTGATGTGGGAGGACTGCTAGAGCCTAGATGGTCAAGGCTGCAGTGAACCGTGATTGCACCACTGCACTCCAACCTGGGCGACAGAGCAAGACCCTGTCTCAAAAAAACAAAAACAAAACAAAACACCAAAAAACCCTGGCCGGGTGCGGTGGCTCACACCTGCAATCCCAACACTTTGGGAGGCCGAGGCAGGCAGATCACCTGAGCTCAGGAGTTCGAGACCAGCCTGGCCAACATGGTAAAACCCCATCTCTACTAAAAATACAAAACTTAGCCAGGCATGGTGGCATGCACCTGTAATCCCAGCTACCCAGGAGGCTGAGGCAGGAGAATTGCTGGAATCTGGGAGACAGAGGCTGCAGGGAGCCAAGATTGTGCCACTGCACTCCAGTCTGGGTGACAGAGCAAGACTCCGTCTCCAAAAAAAAAACAAAAAACAAAAACAAAACCCACAACCAAACTTCTTTTTTTTTTTTTCAAATAAAACAATATGCTGTCTTAGCCAGCTCTTTTAGGAATTTTAAAAGGTGTGACCCACCTTGCTAAGATCTTTGGCAGTCACACTATCGTCATCCCGGCAGGGCAAGCGATGGACGAATGCTAACATCTGATACTTGGCTCTGATGAATTCCGCTTTATTGGGACTGGTTCAAAAACAAAAAAGAAAACAGTTCACTCGTTCAGATACAACAATCCCCATTCTTTGTACTGTAAAAAGAAGAGGAAGTGACCCACATCCCCCACTTGAGAATAAAATGAACAATGCTCAAGTAAGTTTCAGCAAGGTTTAAGACCTGAAGTTTGAAAACATACATTAGTCATTATAATGGCTGGGACGGCAGAGTGCCTGCTTTTTATAGTAGCCCTCTTCTCTGTGTAATTGTCTGAACTGACATAACAACCTTGGGAGAAAGCAGCATTTAGTCCCATCTTACAGGTGAGGCAACAGGCAGAAGGGTGCCCAAACCTAGATTTCTGGTCTGATCGCCTCTTATTTGAGTATATGTTTAAATCTGATTACATTTACAGACTCCAAGCCATGGTTTCCAACTGAGGAAGCCGCTTACTCCTGCCGGGCGGCCATGCTAAACAGATGGTCCTGCCCCACCCCATTCTGCATTTCTAATAGCAAAGAGCCTGATGTATGACTAGGGTAACCCCCTCCTCTGCTGCCCTTGTGGAGACTGACCAAAAATAGCTGCACTCCTTTCAGTGGGCCCCATTTGTTATGAAGAAATAAAAGTATTTATAAACATTCCACTCACTGTACTTTATCCTGTGGATTAGCTTTACGTCTTCCACTCATAATAGATGCAGGGTCCAGCAAAGAATGCTCCCATATAGAGTTAGCACCGTTATTATACAAGGTCTCAACCATCTAAAACCAAGCAGACAACATAAGACTTTAATTTCTTTTCACAAATATTCAATGGGGATCAGTGACTGAACAGGGTAAACAAAGTCTATTATAAACACTCATGTTAGGAATATCATCCATATCACTGTTTTCTGATTTGAGAATGAGAAAGATGATCAATCTGTATGCAGGATTCAGCTTTGACTAGTAGGATACTTAAATACCTAAAGAAGTGTGACCGAACTGTTCTTATACAGTATGAAAGACAAGCACTCTGACACCTTAGAGCAGGGTTTCCCAAACCTAATTAAACACTATTTTCAAGATTCTTCACGACCCATGTACTGTCTATATTATTCACATAATATTTGTCTTTAAAGCCACTTACTTTTAAAAACAACTACAGTTTGATGTGCTAGTTATAGCTTTCCTATACACAGTAAAATAATGCAACCACTTAAAAAAACCATGTATTACCTACATCTGTCTTGCATACCACTGGTGGTTCCACATTTGGGGAATTGTTGCTTTAGGGTCAACTCTGGCATTCTAAACTACTCATCTCTGGACTTTACTGAGATTCTATAATACAATCTGGCTTTGTAAACACAGACAGACCTGAGAGCAGTAAACAGCCCCTTTCACATGAGCGTGAGCTGTTAGAAACTTCTAAGCAAAAGTTAGTAATAAATCATATCTCCAAATTTCATTTCAAGGCATGACTCCTAAAACAGCCCCATCTGTTTTTTACAGCAGTGTAGTTATTTTCACATCAGACATCCAAACCCACGTGTTTTGGCTCCTTGGTTCACACAGGCAAGTTTAAGGGATATGTGCAGCTGTCAGAGATTCAGAGAAATGTCTAATCAAGACAAATGAAGGCAAAACACACATTTAACCCTGAGTTCCAAGAGAACTTGAAGAATGTGTACCCCAAAATAGAAGTAAAGGTGACATGACATTGGACCCCAAATAAAACAAAGAGCCCATTTAACAGGGTATTCTACATGCAATCAAAACATATTAATTTAATTTGGTCTCTCTGACTAGTAACAGAACTTTAAGAAAACTTAAAATGTTTCAGAAGTTTCTGAGGAATCCCAGCCCATGCCACTATCAAAGCAGAAAAACATGTTCTAAAAATATTAGCAGGTACTCAGGAATAAGTACATTAAAGAAAAGTTTCTCAGGCAGTAGCTTTCAGAAACATTCATTATCATGCATAGAAGAGATGGACTACTGGCTGGGCACGATGGCTCATGCCTGTAATCCCAGCACTTTGAGAGGTTGAGGTGCAGATCACTTGAGTTCAGGAGTTCGAGACCAGCCTGGCCAACATGGTGAAATCCCTTCTCTACTAAAAATACAAAAATTAGCCGGGCATGATGGCGGGCGCCTGTAATCCCAGCTACTCGGGAGGCTGAGGCAGGAGAATCGCTTGAACCCTGGAGGCAGAGGTTGCAGTGAGCTGAGATCACACCACTGCACTCCAGCCTGGATGACAGAGACTCCGTCTCAAAAAAAAAAAAAATTTTTTTTTCTAGTGACAGTCTAGAAAGTCAACAGTGCAACATTACCAAGGCATTTTAATGACTATCCATCTATGTACCTATAATTGAGCTGTTTGGACAAGATTTATGTCAAATAGGAAGAAAAATCTTAAATGATGAATTCAATACAGATAATATTTATAAGTAGCATTGATGGGCATGCCATCTCTATTCAATTATGAAACAGTTTTGTCTTATGGAAGAAGTACGCCAGGAGAAATTTTAGTTGTTAACACGATGAGCCCTCAAATGTAAATTACCATCAGGAGAATTCTTCTTATCCTTTACCTGAAGCAATGTTGGAGGCCATGGTGTGTGTTTCAGATGCCTCACTTGGGAGATATGGCGCCCTAGACTCCGATGGACACTGCAGCACTCATCACATATAAACGTTCCCCTATTTACTGATGCCCAGGAAGGATCTGGAAAGAGAGTGAAATCTCAGTGGCAGGGATACCAGCAGGTTGCTATACCGCCAGATGGCGAAAGATGACTGAGGTTTGCTTTGTCAGAAAAATGAGACATTTTTGTTTTAGTATGCTCATCAACGCATCGAGCTGGTTATCTTGTCGGATGATATGACCTACCTTGGCTGATTAGGTACAATGCTAATTGAGACTAAAAACATCAGTGGGAGCCTTGGGTAAACAGCTATCTTCTTTCTGGTTCAGGGCCACAGTTTGTAGCCCTAATGTGGATCTACCATTTCAGATGCATGCTCTTTCATTCAAGCTAAGAAAGCAAATTGAGAGGGTACTGATGAATGATTTTGGATCCATCTCCATAAAAACCAAGATAATACAATTTTTTTTTTTTTTTTTTTTTTTTTTTTAGATTGAGTCTCACTCTGTCACCCAGGCTGGAGTACAGTGCCACAATCTTGGCTCACTGCAACCTCTCTCTCCCAGGTTCAAGCGATTCTCCTGCCTCAGCCTCCCAAGTAGCTGGGATTACAGGCATGCACCACCATGCCCGGCTAATTTTTGTATTTTTAGCAGAGACGGGGGGATTCATCGTGTTGGTCAGGTTGGTCTCAAACTCCTGACGTCAGGTGATCTGCCCACCTCGGCCTCCCAAAGTGCTGAGATTACAGGCGTGAGCCACTGCACCCGGCCAAGATAATATAATTTTCACAGTGAATTATGCAGATAGCATTTTCTGCAGTAAATGGTGTAAAGACTGCTGTCCTAATTCACTGCTATGAATCAAGATGCCAATATGCTTAGCAGAAAGCTGCGAGTTACAGAATCATAAAATCACTCAGCTACTATGGTTCTGAGAACAGGGAAACCTGGCCTCTTCCATTAGGAAATGTTCTATGATGTCCATCAAATTTTTTTTTTTTTTTTTGAGACAGTCTCACTCCGTCCCGTAGGATGGAGTGCAGTGGCGCAATCTCGGCTCACTGCAACTTCTGCCTCCAGGGTTCAAACGATTCTCCTGCCTCAGCCTCCCGAGTAGCTGGAATTACACGCATGTGCCACCAGCTCAGCTAATTTTTGTTATTTTTAGTACAGAAGAGGTTTCACCATGTTGGCCAGGCTGGTCTCAAACTCCTGACCTCAGGTGATCCACTCGTCTCGGCCTCCCAAAGTGCTGGGATTACAGGTGTGAGCCACCGTGCCCAGCCAATTACTTGTTTTACATAAACTACCAAGTCCAATCCTGCAACTAATCTGAAAAAAAAAGAAGTTGCAATAACAGCAGCTTCACAGAGGCAAAGATGTAAAATAAAAATGAGTAATATTTTTAGTGTGTGTATAATACTTTCTTCCCTTTAAAATCATAGAGCTTCATTAGATGCCCTTGGAAACAAGGGATAATTTCATGCTTGGCAAGCAGGATGGATCTGGGTAAGTAAACTGAATACTTTGAAACCTCAAAGAAAGACCTACATTTCATCAGACTCACAATGGGGTGACAATAGGTGCCACTTAAGCTGCCTAGTCAAAGGGTTACATTTAAAAATTCTTCAATGTCCACAAAAATCTCTAAAATGCATGTACACCATCTTTACCATTTTTTAAGTTTATTCAAACCCATTCAAACCATATAATGAAAAGTTATGGGCTTTCAATCAAAGACAAATCCTGGGAGCCAGTGACTATGGTGGTTAAGAGGGTTGGCTCTAGAGACAAGCAATTCAGGGTTTGAACCCCAAGTCTGCCACTTCTTGCACAGTGATCTCAGACAAGCTACTTCTTTGAGTGTTTTCACCATGGCTCAAATGAGAATAATAACATATCTCAGGATAGTGAGGATACAGAGAATCAGTGAGGTACCTCACACATAGTAAAGTAGTAACGTTAGCTGTTATATCTTTTCTAAATTATTTTCTCAGTAATTCAGATATTTTCTAGATGTGAAATTCACGATCACTGGAAAAAGTTTTTGATGGGAAATATTTAAAACATTGAACATTTCATGTGACCACTATACTACTGTATTGAAAATCTCCATGGAGTTGTCAAGTAATTGAACTCAGAGTGTGATGTATTTGAAACGAACCAGATTCATTAAAAAAACAAACAAACACACAAAAAAATAGAATATTTAAGAAGTGATCATGGTTAAATGTTTGCATAAAATAGAATCAAAATAATTCAATTTATTATAACTGTCACTATTACTATATCATCCTAAAAAGCAGAGATTGGAAATGTCCAGATGAAGGAGCTCTACAAAGATGCATAACAACACTGCTTCCTGCGGTATAGTACTGTCACTAATGGCCAAAAAAAAAAGACTGTTTTGAAGCATACCTTTGGTTTTCACTTATCATTCAGAGGATTTGCACTATTCTTTTTTTAGCAAGTATTTAACACATATTAATTAAGACAAGTATTCGACTAACCACTTTAGCATCCTGGATCAGAATCCCATGGAAAGAATATTAGAATGATAACGTGGTAAAATAAAAATAAGTTTGTATGAATGAGATTGGGTAAAACCCTTTAAGTTCATCTGGAGGCTTTATGCCTGGGCTCCAGGGACACCACAAATGAACTTCAAAAATGTCCGTGACTCCCCTAGACAAATCTTAGGTAAATTCGTTCACGTGCATTTTAGGGGAGAAGGCCTTAGCATTCATCAGAATCTCAAAGGGGTCCCTAACCCTACAGGTAATTCTCTCAGTAGGGTTTTGCAGAAAAGGCAGCACAAATTCCAGGCTGCTCAATTTCACAGAATATTTCAAGGTAGCCTACTTATATTCAAAACAGGAAGGAAGTGACTCAAGTCTCTGCAGATCAGGCGTATGAGACAACAACTAAAGCGATACAATGGAAGAGAAAATGTTCTGAAATGCACAAAATGCTGCAAAAGTATATTTAGGATGGCAATGGAGGAACAATTTTGCTTTGCCCCGTACCCCATCAAGAAGCAAAACAATATGCATTCCAAGAGGAAGTTAGAAGCTGGACACATGTGAATCAAACACATCACAGAAAGTTCGACTGAAAACAGGCAAGAAAATAAGGAAGTGGAACAAATAACATTTTTAGAGAAAACGATGGAGTTTGAGTTTGTATAACTCACACTAACTTGGTTTAGAAAACGCTTCTTTTTAAACTCCTCCACACCCCCTCCCTATCTTCAAAGGAAACTGGTAACACCTGCACTGTACCAGCCATTAAAACCACCACATGAGGTTTGAGTTATCACAGTTCTATTTACAATCAGTCTTCACTTCCAAATGACAAGCTGAAGATCAGAACAGTTGCAAAGCCAGTGGTGTTCAATGATTTGATTAAGATTGTTTATCGGACACTATTGTGCCAAGAAAGCCATGTTACCTTCGAATTAACTCAAAGCCAATACATCCAAGCACCTAAAACAGCATGTAATAATCTATCCAGAGACCTGACAATTCAGTTGCAATTGCTGAGATCCGCTTGATCTCTAAATGTGAATATTATGTATGAACAGTTATGCATCATTATGAAGGAATGGTTTAGCGTTTCAATGCCCCTATATTGCTGGTGATTTTGCGTTTGTTTCAGTTGTAATCAACGTATGATTTAGATAGTCAATTCTAGCTTTAAGGGACTGCAAGTGTTCTATTGTAGACAGCATAACGCAAAAAAGAAAAGCCTTAGATGATATGATCCTACGAGTATTCATTGAATCCTCCTCACCACTGAGCGTGATACTCCCGATTATCCTCATCGAAAAAAATGAGGAAATCAAGCCAAGTGACCAAGTGAAGTCACCAGCCCAAGGTCACCCAGAAGCAAAATCTAGTTTGAACCCAGGCCATTCAGATCCTCAAACTTGAGACACGCACTGCCTCCTAAGTGCTGGTTGTGTCTGGAAGACCCCGATCTACTGGCAATTCTCCCCGACAGAGTAGCTGTCGGATGTCAGGAGCGGAGAAGTCATCTACGGGGACCCTCTGGCGAGACTCAGGGAGTGTCATCCTCCCCGGGCAGGGCACCCAGGCGGAGAGAGGGTCTAGTGGGAGGTGACACCTGCAGCCTCTGGAGGCTGCAGCCGGGAGGACGCTCGCATTTTACTTCTGTAATTGGCTTTCCTGTGTATTGCCCAAGCCCCTTCCTGTTGGGGGAGCAGCCCTGGCCCCCGTCACCTCCCCAGCTGGCCTGGGACGGAGGGAACGGGAGGGAACTAGAGGGAACGAGAGGAAAGGGAGGGCCGCGAGGTACTGGGAGGGCGGCGGCCCCCTGCCCGCCAGGCTCTGACAGGCCTGGGACACGTCCTGCCCCAAGGCCGCCCCGGGACCTCTTCGTTGAGACCCTAGTAGCGGGTTGCGGACGCTTGACCGCAGGATGCCGCCTGACCTGAGTGGGCGGCCCCGGGGTAGGGGTCCGGGCCAGGAAAGCAGAGGGGAGCGGGCCCGGCCGGTGCGACTCACCCGGCCCGCTGCAGTCAGCGCACACCTCGCTGCTCCGGAGCCGTTTCGACATGGCTCCCGCCTCCCACCTGCCGGGAAGTAGAGGCCCGGGGACAGCAAAGGCGGCGGCGGCGGCGCTTCCGCTCTAACGGGTCCCAGCGGCAGCGGCGCTGACGGCGGCGCCTCTCCCCTCAGTGCCTTGCAGCCTTGGCATAGCACGCAAGCGCGGGGAGGCGCCCTTCTGCGAGTGTCAGGTCATGTGACCGGAAAGGGCACGCTGCCTTGTCGCCATCTTGAGTGAGGGCAGGAGACTGCTGGAGCATCATCTGTCCTACCTTTAAATATTGAATTTGGATCTCCCTCTCTGGCAGAGATTCCCCTCGTCCCAACTGATTAATACCAGGGGAAGCAGCAATATCTTGTGATGAGAACCCTGCAGCCACAGCCTTCCTGAGGCAATCAATGGTCAAGTTCATTGATTCATTCCTTTATTCAACAAATATTTATCGGCCGGGCGCGGTGGCTCAAGCCTGTAATCCCAGCACTTTGGGAGGCCGAGACGGGCGGATCACGAGGTCAGGAGATCGAGACCATCCTGGCTAACACAGTGAAACCCCGTCTCTACTAAAAAATACAAAAAACTAGCCGGGCGAGGTGGCGGGCGCCTGTAGTCCCAGCTACTCAGGAGGCTGAGGCAGGAGAATGGCGTAAATCCGGGAGGCGGAGCTTGCAGTGAGCCGAGATCCGGCCACTGCACTCCAGCCTGGGCGACAGAGCGAGACTCCGCCTCAAAAAAAAAAAAAAAAAAAAAAACAACAAATATTTATCGAGTACTTACCATGTTTTATACAATGTCCCAGCCACTGGAGAAACAGCAATGAGCAAAGACTGAATTCCTAGTCCTTATGAAGCTTGCATTTTACTGAGGTAGATAAAGTAAAATAAGAGTGTATTATATGATTCCAGGCTAGGCGCGGTGGCTCACTCTTGTAATCTCAACACTTTGGAAGGCTGAGGCAGGCGGATCACTTGAGGCAGGAGTTGGAGACCAGCCTAGGCAACATAGTGAAACCCCATCTCTACTAAAAATACAAAAATTGGCCGGGCACGGTGACTCAAACGCCTGTAATCCCAGCACTTTCTGAGGCCGAGGCGGGTGGATCACGAGGTCAGAAGTTCAAGACCAGCCTGGCCGAGATGGTGAAACCCCGTCTCTACTAAAAATACAAAAATTAGCCAGGCACAGTGGCAGGTGCCTGTAATCCCAGCTACTTGGGAGGCGGAGGCAGGAGCTTGAACCCAGGGGGTGGAGGTTGCAGTGAGCCGAGATGATGCCATTGCACTCCATTCTGTCTCAAAAAAAAAAAAAAAAAAAAAAAAGATTGGCCGGGCGTGGTGGCGCATGCCTGTAATCTCAGATACTCAGGAGGCTGAGGCGTGAGAATCGCTTGAGCCTGGGAGGTGGAGGTTGCAGTGAGCAGAGATCACGTCACCGCACTCCAGCCTGGACGACAGAGTGAGACTGTCTCAAAAACAACTCAACAATGACAACAAAAATAACAAAAAAGAATATATTAGATGATTCCTTATTTAGGCTTCAGTTTTAATCTCATCTTCAAAATTAAGATAATGCATTGTTTACTTCTAGTCCATGATTTGTTTTTGTATGGCTTGCTACTTAAGAATGATTTTTACATTTTTAAAGGGTTGCCAGATGAAAATGAAGGAGAAGAGAGAGAGGGAAAGAAAGAAAAAGAGGAAGAAGAATATGCAACAAAACTTGTATGTGACCAGCAAAGTTAAACATTCATTTTTGCTAAGGACAGATGGAATAAATTATGGGAAAAATGTGATATACCTGCTGGATAGTAACCCCTCAGTAAATAGTAGCTCCCATAATTATGGATATTGCTATTATTTTCTAATTACTGTTTTTCTTCATATGCGTGGAATTTGAGACTAAGAATAGCTAACCTGGGATAATTTACAGAAAAGTGTGAGATAAACACAATGAAATGAGGTGAATCAGTGTGAAGGAGAAAGGAGATGTGGCCCTAATACCAATGATTACTTATTGTCTGTCTTACATATAAACACAACTATGATCTCCATTCCGCAAATATTGAATGCCTGTTGTGAGCCAGGTACTATTTTGGTTTTAGATACTCTGGTAAGCAAAACGATGTGGTTCCTGTCATTGTGGGGTTTTCTGATTAATGAGATAGGGAGATTTTCAAAAAACATGGGAAGATGAAGAAGAAGAACATTAAGTTGCAAAAGGCATCTGAAAGAATGAGAAGTGCTGGAAGAGGCCTCAAAGCACTGGTCTTGAGTTCATCTCTACAGTGTGATAAATGTGTGATGTAGGAATAATCACAGAATTCCCACGCATTCCTCGGTTAGAGTCTCCGGGTGCCATCCTGGTGCTCCTGCATCCTGTTTTGGTTTAACAACTCACAAATCTGGGCTCCACATCTGTGGAGAATGGATTAGGTTGGGATTCTTGAACAGCTGTGTTGCAGGCATCTGAAGAGCTGGATGTGCATATGCTCAGAGGGCAGAGGGAATGTTTTCACACTGCATTAAATAGCTTCACCCTGCTATGTGGTCTAGTTGTAGACAGCTGAGCTGAAGCAGCAGCAGAAAGTTCAAGCCCATGAGTAGCTAGCTGTAAGTTGTTTTGGTTCTTCATTGAGTCAAGGAGGCATAGTGCCTGAAACACAAAGAATAAACTTCACATTCGCAGACTGTGGTCAAATATGTGTATTATTTATCAATCCTTTCAGCCATAACCTCAAATCCAAAAAGCTAGCTTAAAAATGACACTCATACACGGACTAAATCACCACCATAGGTAGCCATTGAATCATAACCTGGTTCGGAGTTCAAATAGAAGCGGTTTTCAACTGAGGACGATTTTTCTCCCCGAGGCGACATTTGGCAATATCTGGAGAGACATGTTTTGGGGAGTGCTACTGGCATTGAGTGGGGAGAAAGACCAGGGAAACCGCTCAGCATCCTACAAAGGACCGGACAACCCCACACAAAAACTGCCCAGTTCAGTATGTGCCGAGGTTGAGAAATCATGAAGTAGAAATATCCCCTTTTATGCAAATACTGTATTTGAAGCCACTTCGCCAGGGTTTAGAGTTCCTCCTTCAAAAATTATCCGGTGTTGCCCACTTCCAAAATGGCTTTTGACCCATCGTGGAAGCATCGGCCCTGCTCCAAAAAGGCTGCAAGGGTGTCGGCAGCTGGAATGGTTTGGTCTGGGGCTCAGTTGTCACCCCCTGACTGTAGAGCCAATGGAAGAGGCCCAGTTGTGGACCGAACCACATGGGGTCGCTGGAGCAGGGGGAAAGAAGCTGGAGACAGGTAGACAGAACTTTCCGTGTGGAGATCTTTGGCCAAGAGAATGAGCCGCAGCTCTGCTCTGTGCTCTGCACTGGGTTTCTCGGTGTGAGCTGGAGGTGGGTGCAATGGCGCGGACCTCGGACCCGGTGCCCGAGGTCGCCTACCCCCGCCGCGGCATGCGGTGGTTCGCTCCCCGCACTTCCCTGTTTGGGGCAGTTAGGTCCGCAGAAGTCGGTCCGCGAGCTGTCAGCGCGGGCGGGAACGCCGCGGGGCGCGGGGTGGGCGCGGCCGACCTGGTCACTGAGCCGGCCAGCGACCCCTGACCTCCCGCGCGCCGCGCACCCGACCGGCTCAGCCGGCCGGCAGCATAACGCGCCCTTCGCTCGCTTGCTGGCCGGCCTCAGGGCAGGCGGGCGGGCGCGGGAGACCCCGCCAGGGCCGAGACTTGGGGCTGGCGGGCGGCGAGAACCCGGTTACGGCCTCCTCGCCATGTCCTCGGCCTGCGACGCCAGCGACCACTACCCCCTGCACCTCCTAGTGTGGAAAAACGACTACCGGCAGCTCGAGAAGGAGTTGCAGGGCCAGGTGAGGGGCGGGGCTGGGGTCCGACTCCTGATGGGGACTTCGGGGAATCGGGGGTCGTTTCGCCTCCCTGAGCCCATTTCCAGCCCTCTGTCCCCGGGATCCCCAGACCCCTTCCACTTTGCAGGTGTGGGACAGTCCTAATTATAGGACACGTATCGAGTGCTTACTGTGCCACGGGCTTTTAAATATCTTGTCTTTTCACCTTTCCAATAACGCTGGAGGGTAGGTACTGTTACTTTTCCACTGGACAGAGAAGGAAACTGAAGTCCTCAGAGGCTACGTGCCTTGTGCGAGGCCGCCCCGCTGATAAATGCCAAGTCGGGATTTTAACTCGTGCCGGCTGGCTCCGGAATGCACCGTCTTAACCATTTTTAGGTTCTACTGCCTCAAAGACGTAAGAATAGCACGCCCTCCTTGTTGTAAGGAAGGGCTTGGTTGGTTTTGGAGTCCAGGTTCTAACGCGCCCTGTGACCTTGGGCAAGGCATTTTCCCTCTCTGGCTGACGTTAACTTAGCTGTAGAATGAGGATGTTGGTTGGTGCTGGGGCAAAACCCAACACTTGACTCTATTGATAGGTCTGGGGTGAGGTCCAGGTGCCGCATTTTAACATACTCCCCAGGGAGGCTGATCGCTAGCAAAGTTTGAGAATCACTGGTTCTCAGGCTCCTTAAAATCCCTTCCTGTTCTAAAGTGCTTTGATGCTTTAATGTTTTCATTATTGCCGTCTCTTTAAAGCAGTAGTACTCTCAGTTGGAGGTGATTTTGCACCCCCGAACCCCTGGGGACATTTGGCAATGTATGGGACATTTTTGGTTGTTGCAAGTGGGGAGTGGGTGCTACTAGTAGTGGGTAGAGGCCAGTTATGCTGCTCAACATCCTGCAATGGACAAGACAGCCCCCCGCAACTAAGACTTATCCAGCCCCCAAATCCAATAGCGTCTTGGTTGAGAAACTCTGCTCCCCTCCCCCCCCCATTGCCCAAGATGGAGTGCAATGGCCCGATCTCCGCTCACTGCAACCTCCGCCTCCTGGGTTCAGGCAATTCTCCTACCTCAGCCTCCCAAGTATCTGAGATTACAGGAATGTGCCACCACACCCAACTAATTTTGTATTTTTAGTAGAGACAGGGTTTCTCCATGTTGGTCAGGCTGGTCTCGAACTCCCGACCTCAGGTGATCCGTCTGCCTCAGCCTCCCCAAGTGCTGGGATTACAGGCGTGAGCCACCACGCCCGGCCGAGAAACTGCTTTTAAAGTATCCCAACAATTCTGGGAGGTATTGGTGCCCTGAAGTTTCAAGCTAACAAACTTAACAGTTAGGATGAGGATTTGTGATTATCTCTGAAATCTAGTATGGTTGTTCTTGTTGGCTTCATACATTTTATCCAGTGTCTTACAGACCTGGTTTTTGAATGACTCGAAATTGGTGCTATAATTTTCAAGAAATTGTAGAGGAAGAGGAGCATTGGTTGTCTTACGGTTGACAAAAATTGAGACAGTTTAGCATTACTCCATTTGGTGAATGGGTACTGCAAGCTGTGTGCTTGCAACCTGCCATATTTAAGGTGGTTGAGCCCCCACCAAGAGTCCAAAATTACCCTCTTTTCTTCTCTTTCTTTTTTTTCTTTTCTTTTTGAGATGGAGTCTCGATCTGTCATACAGACTGGAGTGCAGTGACGTAATCTCAGCTCACTGTAGCCTTCGCCTCCCAGGTTCCAGCGATTCTCCTGCCTCAGCCTCCTTAGTAGCTGGGATTACAGGCTAATTTTTTATTTTTAGTGGAGATGGTATTTCATCATGTTGGCCATGCAGGTTTCAACCCCTGGCCTCAAGCAGTCCGCCTACCTCTACCTCCCAAAGTGCTGGGATTACAGGCATGAGCCACTGTGCCCAGACATTTTTCATTTAAAAAGAATTCCAGATACGATAAACTTTTGTGAGAGTCATCGTTCTTAATTAGGTGACAGGGCAACTATTTAAGAGTTAAGGAAATATGACATGTGCCCTCAGACTAAATGATTCACCATTAGGCATTTTAGTATACTGATAATTTAATTCCTTTTCTATTACTAGACATGGTACAGAGGTAAAAACTCTAAGACTCAGCTAGGACACTTTAAAAATGACCAATTTTGGTTTTTAGGCATCTGCTTCTTTTGGTGCCCAGACTGGTCTTGAACTCCTGAACCCAAGTGATCCGCCTGCCTCAACTTCCCAAAGTGCTGGGATTCCAGGTGTGAGCCACTGTGCCCTGCCCAAATCCTGTATTCTTAACCCCTACTATACTTCTTTCAGTAAAAATGACTTTATTTCAAGATTATGGAGAATAAATAAGGAAGATAATGGACCTGAAAGTGCAGGCATATGGTAATTGGAAACAATATTTACCAGTAGCTGCTGCTATTGTAATCATCATTTGTAAACCTGGGGATTAAGCTTCTTTTCTCTATATTCCAGTTTTTCTACAAGGAAGATGTATTGATTGCATAATTAAAAACAAAAAATTCTTAAGGCCAGGTGCGGTGACTCACGCCTGGAATCCCAGCACTTTGGGAGGCTGAGGTGGGTGGATCACCTGAGGTCAGGAGTTCGAGACCAGCCTGACCAACATAGAGAAACCCCGTCTCTACTAAAAATACAAAACTAGGCCGGGCGCGGTGGCTCAAGCCTGTAATCCCAGCACTTTGGGAGGCCGAGACGGGCGGATCACGAGGTCAGGAGATCGAGACCATCCTGGCTAACACGGTGAAACCCTGTCTCGACTAAAAGATACAAAAAACTAGCGGGGCGAGGTGGTGGGCGCCTGTAGTCCCAGCTACTCGGGAGGCTGATGCAGGAGAATTGCATAAACCTGGGAGGCGGAGCTTGCAGTGAGCTGAGATCCAGCCACTGCCCTCCAGCCTGGGCGACAGAGTGAGACTCCGTCTCAAAAAAAAACAAAAATAGCCAGGTGTGGTGGCATGCGTCTGTAATCCCAGCTACTCAGGAGGCTGAGGCAGGAGAATCACTTGAACCCAGGAGGCCGAGGTTGCAGTGAGCCAAGATCGTGCCACTGCACTCCAGGCTGGGAGACAGAGCGAGACTCCGACTCAAAAAACAAAAAATTCTTATCACCGCAGCAATAAAGTGGCTGTTTCCCTTAATGTTTTGTTGGCTGGTGAGTTTCTGCTGCCAGTTTTCTCATTCCCTCTATCACCCGATTGAGACTTGGAGCATGTACACCGATAGCTGTAAGGATTTTTTTCCAGGTTTTTTGTTCCTGTTCCAGGAACAGCAACACAAGAAAGAATCAAGTTTATCCAGATGAAGAGGATAAGCACATGTTTCTGAGTGTGTGTGAGCCAGCCCCAATCCCACTGTCTCACTAATAGCGGGCAGTTGTGTAACTCTGCCAACTACGAGATTATTTCAGGCCTTCGTTTGATCAGCAGAGGCATTTAATAAAGTGCCTCTTAACCCATCAGCTCATTAATATTCAGTGGGGCCTTGAACTTGGTTGCTGAAGTTGAAACTATCTGTGTTCTGCTTATGTCATTTGCCACTTAGCAAATGTTAAACTTCTTTGGCCCTCTTACTGATGCTGAGACATGAACACTGAAGGGGACAGATACAAAGGTGAGTCAGTGTACCTTAGACAGGCTTGGAAAACCTGGGTTGTGTGAGGTGGAGGGTGGCAGATGACGCCTGACTCTAGAGCCAGGCTCCCTGTTAGGAAGCCAGCAGGTGAAAAGCACAGCACCTAGGTAAGAGGAGGACGTTCCTGGGGTTCCCACTCCGGAGCAGGCCAGGTGAGGCCCCTGGGCACAGATTCACGTCACTGAGCCATGGACTAGGCATCCAAGATGAAGAGCCTAGAGCCTGCTCTCCGCATGTGCCCCCTTGGTCATCAGGGGCTCAGGCTCACCTTAGGAAACTGGCCTCAAGATTCCTGTTCCCACTGACTTAGGGTGGAGGCCCCACAGAGGACCAAGATGGTCTGAGAGTGAAGAGGGGTGAGGGTGGTTGACTGTTGAAAGGAGGACTAGCCAGCAGCCTCTTGCTGGAGGCCCCCTAAAGGTAACAGTGAGTTTATGAAGCGCTTCCTGCATGCCAGGTACCAAGGCACAGGGGATCTGATAATTCACCTGAGGCTAGTGGGGAAGTTGGAAGGGGCGCCCGGTTGTCTGGTTCTGCAGCCTGGCCTCAGAGCTCAGCAGGAGGATGGAAAGATAGTAAAGAAGGCTTGATTGAGGAGGCTGAGATGAGGCAGTGCTTGAGGACAGGAGTTCAAGACCAGCCTGGCCAACATAGTAAGACTCCATCTCCTTAAAAAAAAATTTTTTTTTTGGCTAGGCATAGTGGCTCACACCTGTACTCCCAGCATTTTGGGAGGCCAAGGCAGGTGGATCACGAGGTCAAGAGTTCAAGACTAGCCTGGCCAACATAGTGAAACCCCATCTTTGCTAAAAATACAGAAAAATAGCCGGGCATGGTGGCGGGTGCCCGTAATCCCAGCTACTTGGGAGACTGAGGCAGGAGAATTGCTTGAACCCAGGAGGCAAAGGTTGCAGTGAGCCAAAATTGCGCCATTGCACTCCAGCCCTGGTGACAGTGTGAGACTCTGTCTCAAAAAAAAAAAAAAATTTTTTTTTTTAAAGGCTTTTGAGCAAGAAAAGTGGATGGGCTGAAATGAGCAAATAGGAAGGAAACTCCTAAAGGGGGATGGGTATTTTTATTTGGGTATAGCTCATGGCTAAAGAAACTTAAAAACCTAAATGATCAGTTTCAAAAGTGAATTCCAGCTGGGCGCAGTGGCTCACACCTGTGATCCCAGCACTTTGGGAGGCTGAGGCGGGTGGATCACCTGAGGTTGGGAGTTCGAGACCAGCCTCAACATGGAGAAACCCCGTCTCTACTAAAAATACAAAATTAGCCGAGCGTGGTACATGCCTGTAATTCCGGCTCCTAGGGAGGCTGAGGCAGGAGAATTGCTTGAACCTGGGAGGCGGAGGTTGCCGTGAGC